GCGAGGAACTTTTAAGTCAGAAGGGGTGAAAACAAAATTATCCAAGGACGGTTAAAAATGAGGAGAAAAAAGTTACGGTGGGGGTAAAAGGTATGATATAGGTGTGTTTTTTTTTTTTTCTTCCTTTTTATATATGGTTATTATATTTGGGTTTTGGTTTTTGTGGTTAAATTGATAATTTTGGGGATTAATAAATAATAAATTGGGGGTGGGAGAGAAGTGAAAATAGAGGGGTGTGGTAAAAAAACGAGAAAAGTTAATAAGGGAGGGGTAATTTGGTATAATTGTACCTTTTCTGTTTGTTCTTTTGTTGTTGTTTTCATTATTGTTCATGGAGTGTACATTCCGAAAGAACACTTTGGATTTTATTTGATTTGTTTCGTTTTTCTTTCTTTCTTTTTTTTTTTCCAGTTTTGATTTCGTTTGTACAACGGTACCGCGGTAAATAGGGGTGAGATTTTATACCCGAGAACCGGAAAATTAAATCGGACCGAATCGATATACGGTTCGATCCGGTTATTCCCAAAAAAATATATCTATTTTTTTTCTAGTTTCGGTAAATTTTTGCAAAATCGGTTCGGTTTTCTGTTCCTTTCAAAATGTATATGTATTAACTGTTGGAATGTCACTTGTGAGTTGTCCCACATTGATTTGATAAGGTAAATAGGCCTAACTTATAAGCCTAGTGGGCTACTCCTCCTACTACCAATTGGTTTTGGGATGGAACATCACTGGGTTTCATTTGGGCTAACCCTCTTATGGTGCGCTTCACTTGTGTGGGACCGTACTCGTATTGCCCCGGGTTTGACATTAACCGAGAAACCAACTATATATATAAAATATGCATGTTTTATATATTTATATATATGATTCGGTTCCGGTTTTTGGTATGTAATACTCAGTTCCTCATTTTTGCAATTCAGTCTCGGATTTTTATGATACTTTTCGTTCATGAGTTGCAAATTTTTGTCCGGTTAATTCTTAAGTCAAAACCAGTTATTGTCGGTTATTTTTCATTATTCGGTTACATGAAGAATTGGAAAAATTGAACTGTTATAACTCGGTTTGGTTCTTTTTTGGTTCCTGCGGATATTTAAGTGTTACCCAAAACGGTTTTTTTTTTTTATTTCGATTCTCGTTCCAATTGTTGGAAAATTATGTTAAGAAACAGAGACCGGTTCCAACCTAGCTACATGATGTTTTGGTCATGATGAGCTTGTGGGATTGATAAATAGGCTAATTGTCCGAAACCTCTCTTACCAACCTGTAATCATGGAGTAAATGTATGTTTTCACTTGTAATCTTTGTGTGTAAACTTGGATTGTTCACTAGTGATATTTGTGTGTGATGATAACTAATGAGGCGTGTTTTCCCAACTATGATATTACAAAAAGATGGTTAATTCGAGTCAGTCGAGCTAGGTTTTTGTCAGAAAAACAATGTCCTAGCATCAAGGTTGTGAGAATCGGACTGGCTATATATCGAACAAGTGAAGTTACAGGTTCAATGGTTTATTGGAACTGGCTATATATCGAACAAGTGAAGCTAACAGGTTTAATGGTTTATTGGTCAAACCAGTGGTTGAACCGGTTGAACCATGTTGTAGCAAATTATGTTTATTTATCGAGTACCGAATTAAAAGATTTGTTTCTCGAGTCGATCTCTCGAGGAAGGTTAGTCGAATTAGTTTGTGCGATTATCAATCACAAAAAGAAGAAAATAATCCCAAAACACTCTACGAGATGGTTGGTTTTGATTTTCAACTAGAAAAATCTCAAACAATGCAAGTTCAAATTTCACCCAAAACACAAGAATCAAACAATGAATAAGAAGCAATAATATTACACTACTCGAATATTTTATTATTTAATTCTATTTAGATTTAGAAATTAGGAACTATTTTTCATTATTTAATTCACTAAGAAGAGAAATATTCTTTCTACAATATTATCTAGAGTTACGAGACTATGAAGTCTTATAAAACGTGATTTAGAGTTGGGAAGGAATATGACTTCTAGAAATGAAAAGAATTGGAAGATAATTAGGTTTCCTTAACCTAACTAGTACAATATTCGTGTATTACACGGGTGCTTGTTAATTTTTTTTTTAAAATCTAAAATTAATGAGAAAAAGTAGTTGAAAATCTAAATGGTCCTTTTATAAAAATATATATATTATTATATATTTAGTATAACATTTTTTATTTGTGTTATTGACCTGTGTTATAATATAATAATTTTTTTAACTTATAACATATAACTATATTAAATATAAATATATTAATTGAGAAATAATTTTATTTTTCTAATGAATTTTAATAAATACTATTACTAAAGATAAATATAATTTATTTATTTCATATATACAATATGGATGTCAAATCGAAGATCACCAAAAGATTATTAATTTGATATATTATATATGTAAAACCAACAAGAAATACAAAAGTTATCAACTAAAATAAATTTATAATTCAATAGCTAATTGAAGGAAGCAAATCAAAAGTCATGGATATATTAGTCACTTAGTGTCAGGGTTATATTACTATAAGAGATATTAAAATACCTAAGTTAGCTAAATAATATTTATAGAATGTCCGAACCTAGATTATTATTAATTAATGTATCAATATTATTTGTCCAAACCTAATTACGAAACATGATTCTTCGCCAAGTAGGATTCTGAAGCACAAGAAGCAGCCACGTAGGCTCAATGCATGCGGGAATTATATATAGGGGATAGGATAAGCCTATATTTAACACATCCATAGGATCCCTATTGTATGCTATAAATACACTAATAACATGACTGGTATAATGGAATGAAATTTCATATGAATGGAATGAACTGAAAAATGGAATGATTATGAAAATGGAATGAAACAAGTTTTGTCATTGATCGTTTGGTATGCAGAAGAAATAAGACCTGAATGGAATGACATTATCATTTTTTGTTATAAAAATAAATAAAAGCTTTGTCTAAAATAATATATTTTTAAAAAATATATGAAAATAAAATAATATATATTTTAATAATATAAAAAACAATATATTTTTAAAAATATATAAAAATAATATATTTTTGATAATATATAAAATGAAAAAGTAATATATTTTTAATAATATATATTGTTATTTTTTTTAATTAAACAATAAATAAAATAAGTTTTCAAGTTTTTTATTTGAATTTTATTTTGTAAAACAATATTTTTTAATAATATAAAAAAAATAATATATTTTCAAATTAAATATAAATGCTTTTTTTTTAGTTTTATTTTAATATAAGTATTTAATATATCTAACTGCACAATAAAGAGAAGTAAGTTTCCAATTTTTTATTTGAATTTTATTTTTTAAATAATTTTATTTAATATATTTTAATCATGATCTATAATATATATTATATATTTATTTTTTATTATTATTTGTTAATTTTATTTTTTGTAAAATTGATTCTTACACACATGAGAATGAGAAAACCTTCCATGAACTATGGAATGACTAATCCCATGAAGATGGGTTTTGTAATTCCCATTGGAGTGGTAATTACTTTCCAAAAAATATATCAATCATGGGATAAGGAAAAAGTAAGAAAATGATCATTCAATTCTCATGTCATTCCTTCCTAGCAATCATGCGCATCACGAAAATGATAAAGCTCACGTTTTTCACAAGAGGATGGCTGATTTATTCGGTCAAAATTATGTGTGAGAAAAAAAAAGTTCTTTTGTTTGAGAGAAAACGGATAAAACCAAGAGGTCTTAGAAAATGAAAATCGAGATGCTTTGAGAAATCCAATACATCGAATATATATATATATATGTTTATCCCGTCGAATATATTCAACCCCGCAGCACTTCCGATGGCCACGAAAACAGGTGAAGACGACCACCGGAGGAAGGCGAGTTCACTGGATCATTCAAGGCGACCAACAGCCGTCGTACACGCCGGTGAACGAGCACCACGCGCCCTCACACGCCGCCACAACACCGCCCGCGCCCACAGCGCAACCCAGCGAAGCTGCGCCGCGCCCGTGTTCATCGCAATCGCGCGCCGGAGTCCCGTGCCCAGCAATACCCA